GATATACAGTACATGTTACTTTAAATATCTAAATATGCCATAAACAGTTTTCATTACCATGATCTTTTTACATTTTCCTAGTGCTTTGTATCCACTCGAAAAGACGCTTTACCAATTTACAATGCCATATCATACATAGGCCTACATGGATATGTTATATAATTCAAATCTGTATATGGCATATGAATTAAATATGGCATAAGCATATATGCTCGGAGATCCACCCAGTTGCTGTTCTAATCAGATTAAACCAACTAGAAATATTGTATTTTGTAAACATATTATGATGGAATTCCGGTTCTGGTAAAAGTGGGTGACGTAACGCGGAAGACACGTCATTCGTTCCTGTTCAGATAATAATATCTAAATGATTAACATACGTTAAGCTTATTTAATCAGTATGCAATATTTAGTTCCACACTTGGATTCAAGGTGAATATATCGGCCGGATTAAGGAACGTGGAATAATTATATTTATCATAGATATGAACGAATATTCGTTGATCGAAATATTGCATTCACGGATGGGAGAAATCTCTTCGAAATTCGTGAAGGAAATTGCACAATCGCCGCATAAGTAGACAATGATCTGTAAAATGGGTCATTTTGTAAAATGGTCATGTAGATAAGTTTAGTTTTATGGGGCTCCAGACTTTTTCATGGTGACTTTGTTGCTTTTAGGGCCCCAATGCACTTGCCTGAATAAATGAAAATGAAATTAAATAGAAATTGCATTATTTATGGTAATATTAATTATATTCGTGTTTCGTCAAATTATTAACAAGATTTCGGCATAATGAGTTCTAAAGACGAAACTATTGTTAGTGTTATAGTTTTTACGGTGTAGAAATCAGGACATGTTATTTCACAGATCATTGTATACTGCCCGCCTATAATATGAGGAATGGTTACTCAACTTCGCAAATATCGTTCCATTTTAAGTTCCAATTTTCTGCGTAGCCAACTTTTCGAAGGTACTGGCCAGTCGTGTTAGTTTGGTAGGAGGCACGCCAGTACCTATTATCCTTAAAGAAATACAATGACCGGTGTTTAAACGAATAATACGCTACGTCAATGTTGTTTTCGAGGGGCGGAACGTTTGCAGAACGTCCGAGGAACACTTGGTTGATAGGTTTTGGGTAGTCGGACACCACACTATTTGTGTCTGGATCAAAAACATACACCTGAAATTGTGAAGGAAAGATTTAAGTTTAGGGAATAACATATGGGAATCGACTACATTTGACTATATAATAATACTAACAACTTATACAAACACAATAACATTCTTTTTTTGTCAATGACAGAAACACACGCATAAAATATCCTGAGATAATTATTGTTGTCTCAGACATATTGAATGATTAAGTTCTTAATTTTTTTTTTCAAATTACTTACCGATGAGTTTTTAAAGAAGTATATATTTTTGTCTTTCCTATCAAAATAGGCAGCATCTAAGTTATCTGGAATTCCAGGAAACTTTTCGCTGATTGGATCACCCTCAGCCAATCCGGTTGCAGGATCGATATCGAACGCTTGTTGTGCGTTACTGTCATACTGTATAACACGCGTTCCTGTAATGACAAATAATTAAGTTACACTATAATTTTAAATATCAAAATACTTATTTATTATAAAACAAATCGTTACTTTGTGGAAAAAAATCAGTAAATGGAAACACCATTCTGTATAATTGAAGCAGGCCGCATTGTACGAGCGTTAAAAAAACAGAGTCCCACCGAGAGGTTTTTTACAAGCTCGGTGACACCGTAAGTGGAAGATGGAACAATCACTGAAAGGAATAATCCTTCCAGAGATCTTAATGACACCCGAGACATATTAATGGCCAATGGCATATCAACAGCTATCTATGTAGATGTCTTTAAAGTTATTTCCGTTTAGAGTTTAGGCCAAAAAAAAAAAAAAAAAACACAAACACAAACGAAAACAATTGTGTTGGCCAAAATCTGGTTATAACGCCTAAAAAGTAGAAAATACACAAATAACACAACAATTTTGGATACGCATCACGTATGCCTTATATCTATATTCTACCGTGATTTATACACATTATATATGCATTAATCTAACTAAGTATAATAATTTTCACACAGTGCATAGATAAGCACCATTCTAATTGCTTTGTAAGTCAATCGTCGTCTTTCAATCAAAATGTTGTAGTCATCGGTTGCTATAGTGGCATGACAGTATATCTGTACGCGTATTACATATTTTAGCTGTGCGTGCGGATTGTTGCTACTGCTATGCGCTAGCACTGTGCACAGTGATTGTGTTTAAAGAACTTGTCATGTGTTGAATATTTTAATAGACATTCCGCAAAAAAAATTAAAAATTCTTCAAGTATTTGAGAAAAAACAGGAATCACATATGGTGTCGGTGCAGACAGGTAAAATCGTGTAATGAGTTCATCTAGGCTCAAGCCGGGCAATCACTGCGTCGTACGACGAATCCAACTCCACTCTCTACGAGCGATAAACGACACGACGCCGTCTGCCTATTGTCGGTGTGGCAGTCTAAACTGATCGTCAATAAAAACGATCAGTTGCGCGCGCGTCGTCGAGTTGCGTCCCTTAAAGAATCTCGTCGGCCGACGACCGTGTGCAATGACTGCCCGACTTTACGAATCGATCTAGGCCTAGAGGTTAGGTTAGACCTACTGCCTACATTTAAATTCGATCATTGCGTCTTTGAAATAGGTATATTCCTATTAAATCTTTAGTTTATGGGTCCATTGATTAAAGGAATTCCTTAATTTTTCATACATAATATTAGATTTGAAATGACTTTCTTCTTTGAAATGACTTTATTTCTTATAGCATATTGTTTTTTATTAGGCCTAAATCTTATATTATTTATCATATCAGATCTGCCATACTATACTATGTTATATTAGAACAGTATTATACTACGTACCCTTGAAGAAATATACTTGGTCATTATTTGAGCTCCAAATTTGAACGATCGCATCAATGTTGTTTGGGATGCCTTGCCACGTGTTGTCAATGTGAAGAGGGTACCCATTTCGTGTTTGATTATATCTGTACTCGTATAACCAAGTGACGCTGTTCTTGAAGAAGAATGTGCTGAAGACTCGTTTTCCATCCGCTCGCATGTGAATCCAGTCGAATACACTGTCGAAGTTACCATCACATTTCCCTAAAGTTAAAAACCATATAGGTTATTACTGTAGTTTGGTAATATATGAGTGTCTACAGTACCACCACCTAGCCATCGTTTCGTTCCTATCATTTTAAATATGATAGTACTCATAAGATAATAATAACAATAATAATAATATTAATAATAATGGTAATTAAAAAATATCAATAATGATAATAATGAGTAATCATAATAACAATAATGATGATAATAATAACAATAATAATAATAATAGTAATAATAATAATAATAATAATAATAATAATAATAATAATAATAATAATAATAATAATATTGATAATAATAATAACAGAATGTACTGTGTTCTTAAACGGGCACATGGGGCCAAGGGGTAAACGGGACACGGGACCAACGGCTAAACGTCTTACGCGAAAGACGATGCACTATCGTAACTTGTAATTCAGCCCTCCAGCTAAAACACAAGCAGAGCAGTAATGTGAATTGAACCGGGGACCTAGAGATCTCCATGGTTCAGCACAGACACAGTGGCTACCGCTAGTTAGCCGACTGAGCTAAGCTGCTCAACAAACAACAACAATAACAGCAATAATAATACGATAGTACCCATAAGGTAATGATAACGATAACAATAATAATGATAATAAAATATCTCGGTATCTTTATTCAAATAAGCCTATTCAAAATACAACCAAAAAGTCCACAGCAGTCTGAGGCTGAATTGGGGACTTCATTTATAATTTTAAAAAAAAATTACAAATACATAATTTAAAATTACAATTCGATTATACAAAATTACAATTCTATTATACAAAATCGCTTAAGGCTAAAAAACATCAAACTTCACAAAAGACAAGTCAATTTAAGAATAAATTACCAATGAAAAAAGAAAAGAAAAAGGAGGGCACACAACAACATTCGAAAAACAACCACAAGTTCAAAATCATTATAGTATTATTACTAATAATAATGGTCATAAAAATAATAATATCAATAATAATAATAATAATAATAATAATAATAATAATAAGTAGTAATAATGTAACAATAATAATACAAATAATATTATTAATAATAATAACAACAATAATAATGATAATAACAATAACAAAACAAAACAAACAAACAAACAAAAATAATAATAATAATAATAATAATAATAATAATAATAATAATAATAATAATAATGAAAATAATAATAATAATAATAGTCCTTACCATAAAGTTCCTGAATAGCATGCTTGTCTGAAGGATGCAACCCAAAGTTGGTCTTATCGTATGGGGTGTAGTAAGGGTACATTACAGACTGTTGCAGATCGTTCACATGCGGTAGGCCTAAGACGTGTCCGATCTCATGAACCGCGGTCTTCAGAAGGCTAATACCATGGCTAGAATCGATAGTAAAATGAACGTTGTCGTTGAAATGAATGTCCCCTACGATGAATGCATGTGAGAATTGGGTCGGTTCTACTTCATATGGATCAAAAGGATAATTGTCATTCAAATGTGCACCTATGGAAGATAACGTAATTAAGTGTCTAATTAAGAAGTGCACCCTCTAATTCGAGACCACTTTTTCAAAGAACGAAGTAATAAACATCAATGTATTTATACTAAGGTAACCTTCTGTCTATGTGGAGACCAAACCACGAAACCACCCTAAATGTTCATTTCCCAAAGGTGGTCTCATATTGGATGGCGAAGTACTTCGATGATAACCTACAATACTCCTGTAACATAAGGCTAGATGATTACCTCACACCCAAATTATTAAAACAAATATTTGTCATTATATACGGTATATTGTTGTCTGTTTTCTTTAATGTACTGTATAATAGTTGTCTCTTAAATTGTTTTTAAATGTACAGTATTTTATGTTCTTTGGTGTTCAATTTGTTTATTTTTAACTGTTTTTTCGCGCCGCACATTCAGAAGAAGCAGTGATTAAGAAACTGTAGGTAGCGGTAGATTTTACTACGAAGGAATGGGAATGGGAATTCCGGACTAATCAATGCGCAAGCGCAGTTACCAAAGAACGTCTGTGAAATATGTATAAAAACACAGTGAGCATGCGCTTGAAAAGGCTAGACAGCCAGTGAATATGTGCGCTGAGTAAGTGACGTTGTTGAGGCATGTCGAGCATGTGCAGTTATGAAAAAGACGTCTCAGGAACTAAACAGCGTCTGCGAAGAGGGTATGAAATAGAAATGGGAAAAATCGAACTTTTTTATGCAACAATTAAACATGCGCAACTCAAGCTAACGCGATCAATGCATGGCTATGAAAATTGAAAATAATGAGAATTCCGGTCGAAAAGCCTTGGATATCGAAGACCTACAGAGCATATAATCGTCAGGGATAATTGTAATTAAAATATCACAAACAACAGTTTATTTGGCTCTATCGTTGTACGTAAGTATGCATTGACAATCCGATAAAAAATAACCACAGAAACTGACGACACAACCTAGGCTAGGCTATCAATCAAATAAGATAAAAAAAAATTCTAGCCTACATGTGCACAAAACCAATTTTATTTACTTAACGATGTATTGTTCCATGCTAAATACTAAAAAAATCATAAAAATATGTTTTTTGAAATTAACTTGTCACTTTTGAAGTAACAAAATTTATCAACTTGAACATAGAAATTAGTGTATTTAAAAAATGTCTACCCATCAGTTTACAGCGAAAAATGATAGAAACACTTCCAGTCACTGAAAGTGTTTTATTACTTTTATTAGGCCTATATATTTCTGGTTTAAAAATCAGGGTACACATTTTTTAAATTAAATAATTTCTATGCAGAAGTTAATAATTTGTATGTTATTACAAAATGAGCAAGTTGATTTCAAAATTAATTTTTATTATTTTTTGACATTAGGCAAGGGACAGATACATCTTAAAGTTTCGTCCGTTTCCTTCTTTCACACATAGAATAACTTCTTATAAAGATACATTTATTTTTATGTGTGTTCATATTTTATCTTTTCATACGACATCTGAAGCTGCAAAAAAGTAACACAATAGCGAGGATGATCTAAGTGCAGCACAACATTATTTTTTAATAGCACTCAGTCAACCATCAGCAAAGCATTCGAAGGGCGCTCCATACACTTTGGCGTTTGTCGGGGCGCGGCCGGCCACTCTACTGCAGTTTGTGTGGCTATTTTTTTCCCGGATTGTCAATAATGGATGCATACGACGAAGAGCATATAGGCCTTCGCTATCCTTCTTCAGCGTACAGCACCGTAAATTTCGAGACAATGCGACTTAGCCTAGGCTTGTCCCCTACTATTTGGCTATTTAGTAGAGCGGGAGGGAGGAGGCTAGCCAATCTAAAGCTGAAGCATAAAAATCGGCTATTACATTGTTACCAACCGTCTCACATCGTGCGGCATTTCAAAGTGATTTTGGATGAAACACGCATTTTGCAGAAACACATGCGTGATCATAAATTTGTCACGCATTTAGCGCAGGTCTATGCGTGATAACGAATTTATCCCGAATTTAAGGGAAAATTTATTTAAAATTAGAAGAAATTGGTTTTATTAAAAATATAAAAACGGTCATGCAGTAACTTGAGTCATTAGACAGTATTTTTGTGAATAAGTACTTAATTCTTCACTGACGCGTTACTAAAAATTGATCAGTATGCCTATGCCTATCATTTTTTGTTTGTTTAAGTAATAAAATGTTTGTGTACATAGTTTGGGTGCTCAAATTAAACATAATGTACATTGAAAGTCAAATTGGACGTGGCTTTATTAAAAAATATTTTTGTTTATTTACCGTACCCGGTATTGTCAACAAACACTTCCTGAAATCGTTTTGTTGAGATCGTCAAAGCGCCGGGGCCCCTGGAACCCCACCGAGGCTCCCTTGACCCCGGAGTCTCCAAGCTAACTGGTGTACGGTCACGCATTTCAAATCTCTCAAGTTGGCAACTATGCTATGATGATTAATTAAGGAATTACAGGTTAGAATATAACTTATTACTACACAAACAGTAATTAGATTGACCATACCTGTTGCAAATGCGATCTTAACGTCCACATCAAAGATATCTCCATATGTATCTTCAACGAAGATCAATGGTGATACCTCGGCCCACATTCGAAAGGCATACTTTATTGTGTGACGAACGGCTTCTAATTCCAAGTACTCACTGTGGTAGTTACTGTAAATTCTCCACGTGATTACTGTTTTACCAAAGATGGTATCAGGCGTACCAGGTGTAATGTAATTACTGCCTTGAGAGCGTTTCTTGCGTTTAACAATGTCTTTAAACGACAATGGGCGCGGTAACGCTCGCCTGCGTCGAACTGGTTCGGGGGACGTCGTTGTCGATGGCACGCCAGTATCATCGGCATACGAGGTAAGGACAGTGGTTAACATGTCCACAGATGATGGTGTGGTTAAATCTACTGGCTTTTGACTCTGCCTGACATTTGGTGCAGAGGATCTCAGAATTGTGTGTAGATTTGGAAATCTCGGTTTCTCAGTTGGAGTACTTTTACTTGGTGCTATTCCTTCAAGTTCTTTACTCGTATTTTTTATTAGAAACCGTCCCAGATTATCAGGAACACCACACCTTGGTCGTACAAACATTTTCATTGTCTGTTCATCAACTTGGCCTGTAACAGGCAGGTTATTTTGTTTCTGAAATTTTGCTATCGCTTCTAGATATAATTTCTGTTCTTCTTTATTTTCACTACTTTCTGGATCCATTACGGTTTCTCTCTCAACCTCAAAATCCCAATCTTCTGTAATAGCAAAACTTTCACTATCAGACGATTCATGCCATTCTTTCTTAGACGGATACGGCCCATCGTATTTCCAATCTGTAAACTTCCATTTTCTCGAATTTCTGTCGAACTTTTTCATATAACCAAATTCTTGTAGAAATTTCTATAATGAAGATTAGAAATACACATATGTGAGATAGCATTGTAATCAACCTTTAACACATGCTTATAATTACCAACGTATGGGACAGGCCTACTCCCAAATAACCTTTTCTGGAATTTTAAATCACATTTAAAAACTGACCAATCAGAATATGTTATTCTATAGGCAGTGATACACGTATGTCCCAAACTCAACCGTTTACGTACGTTTATGCTGCCATAATAGGTCCATGCAGTGGCGTCGAGAGGGGGTCAGGGAGTCGCTGTCCCGGGGCCCGGGTCTACTGGGGGCCCGGACCAAGATGAAACATTTTCGGGGTAAGAACAAAATCTCCATAGGGCCCGGACCCAAGCCAGGATGAAAACTTTTGTTGTCAGAACAAACTCTACATTATGGTCTTAGGAGGAGACTTAATTTGGGGAGCGGCCCGGGGGCGGGGGGGGGGGGGGGGGGGGGGGGGGGGGGGGATGCATGTCAGGTGTTGCCCCGGGGCCCTTACTGGCTCTCGACGCCACTGCTGCCATTTTTGGGGAATTGGTAAGAATATCCAAGAGGAGAGGCTTAGCGTGAAGGTACATAATATATTTCTCCTAAACAAAAACTGGGTCAAACTTACCAGATGCAATTTGAAAAAAAAAACCAAAACAAAACAAAAAAACCCAAAACCTCAATTTAATAATAAAGGAAAAGTTCCCCACATTTAAACCATTTGACATATATTCGACATATAGTATACGGAAGTTGTCTTGGCATTACCCAAACGCCTGATTTCGTGCTTAGTGATAAAGAATGTCACCTAAATGACATCAAGTGGGAATTTAGCAGCAATAGAAACGTGAAAAAAAAATATGTTGATGGGACTAAGAAACCGGCATAGGCCTACCTGTAGTACATATGGAGATTAAACTGCAATATTTTTAAATAAAACACAATACGATATGGCACAATATATTCTAATGGTCTTTGTAGAAAAATTGGGTGTTAACATCTTTTAGTTGTGCATTCTGTTTCTTGAACTAGGCTTAACTGTGTGAGAGCCAGGCGTATTTATGTTTTATGGACAAATTTAATCATTCTGCAATCAAGACGACAAGAATTAGCGAATTTCTATTCAGATATATAAAATTTCCTTTTAAGACAATTTATGTGTAATTAAAATACAAATCAAGGGAAAAATAAAAGAGTAGAATTAATTAAAATTTAATCTAATATATTGAACATATAAAAAAATACGAATAATTGCTGAATTTGTATATTTCACTAAGTTACTTGCTCTCGACTGAAAATTAGAACGAAAACAAATACATTTCTTACGCCAAAATTACCGGACATTAACTAACACACAATTGGCGTACATTTAATTTCCAGAAGAAAATTTAAAAATGTTTGTAGTAAAACGTCTATAAATAATTAAAAAACCTTTTTCTCGTATTTTGTATTCGTGACTTATTAAAACTTATGTGGTGCTTTTAATTCATTTTAATAAATTATATTTTTAGTTTTGACTTTTAACTTTCTTTTTTGTTTCCAAGAATTCATAGTTGTAAGAAATCTTAAATTGAATATTAGTATTACCTTGGCTCTAGATTCTGATATGACAACATTTTGTTCTGGGTCCCAATTATAAGTAGGCCGTAAATCTTGAAAGAAGCGTCTGCGACGCACTTGCTGAGCCGACGACGTTGACGAAATGATAATTAGACACAGATGACTGACGAAAAACAAGTTACGAATTGATGAAAAATGAATAGTCATATCTGAGTTCGAAACCAGGCCCTGTCTAGCCAACATATTTGCGTCAGTAAAGTTAGAATTGAAATGTAGGTATATGCTTGCCGAGTTGAATAAAATAGAATGTGATTTTCTTGTCGGATTATCTGATTGGTTGGTTGCTATCACGTTTTTTTCGTTGCAGATTTTTTTTTTTGCTGAAATTAAAAGAAAATAATGTTAGATACTGCTAATGTACTTATTCTCATCCAGATAAAAGTAGGGTACTGGCATGCTGTTCTGTATGTCGGTTGGAAGCTATTGAAATATTAATGATACATTCAAAAACATTCCTATGGATTGTATCGCAACATTCTATTCAATTATTACACGTATGTTTAGGTACCTGACGTGACTTGAGTACCGTCTACAACACGACCAAGTCAGGTGTACAGGTAAGCAGTTCCACCAGATAACGGATACGATTAGAAATCGTAAGGAAAACACACCACGTTATCGTATGTCCATTTTTATCGCATCAGAAAAAAAACAGAGTTTGCATAACCGAACCCACTATCACACAATGAATTTAATTACAGAAAAACACGTTCGATACACTATATTCGACAACATTATCGTAAAGTTAGTTTTACAGCAAACTAAGAAATTATCACGTGATGTTAGGTCTATTGTCAGATAAAATTAAATAGTGCCTTTGACCTAGCCTGTTTTGTGCATGTATGATAAAAATATATATAAGTTTTGGTATTAGTATTGGTTTAAAACCCAAGGTCATACCACACAATAAACGATCATTTTACCGATCAATCGATCGATTATCAATAAATCAATTGATTACTTAAAATTAGGAAAATTTTGTTAAATTAATTACTTAATTCAATCAATCTAGTATCACCTATTTATATTTTACTTAAAAATAATCTTTTACGAAACTTCAGCAGCACGACTTATGGCCGTGTCATTTTTACAAAATTCTAAATAATAAGTTTAGAACAAAAACTGAAATAGGCTTACAGTTCATTTGTCTAACCTCACGATTTTATTTTGTGAAAGGTAAATAAATGTATACTGTACTTGTTTGTGAGGAGTCTGAAGGTGTATGAATAGCATAAATAATATACAAACACACCTGTTCTGTTTCTTTTTATAGGGTTGGAATACACAGCGTAAACGAGCAATACTAGTGAATAGTTCATTATGTTGATGTTTCGGTTCATGTTGACGTGTTTTACTTGGTTTCAATGTCTGCTACTCTGCAAATATTCTAATTGCCAAACACATCACACAGGATTCTTAATATAGGTATGCCACACACACATACATATCTGTCTCTTATACACATCTAGATGTGTATAAGAGACAGGGCCCTATGGAGTTACCAGACCTAATTTTATTAACAAAAGTTCACGTAGAGTGAAAAATAGACTAACCCGGAATGCACTCGGGGGAAACATCTTAAATCACCGTGCATTACAAATCATTACCAACTGGTGTGTATATGTATATGTGTGTATGTATGTGTATATATGTATGTATATGTGTATATGTAGGTGTGTGTGTATGGGTGTACGCGTATATGTATATGTATGTATATGTGTGTGTTTGTGTGTATGCATATATATATATATATATATATTTCTTTTATTTTATTTATTTTTATTTACTTTTATTTATTTATTTTTATATTTATTATTATTATATTTTTATTTAAAAATGTTATATAAATTATTGCATGCTATTTAATTTTTAATGACGCTGTTAGGAGAGTCACTTGATAGTTTTTAAACTTTTTTGGCAATCCTTGGAAGGCAGCATCATGTTTTTGTTATATTTTTACTAAAATTAAATTTAAATTGAATTTTAATTTGGTGACAGCTTTGTTGGACAACACCAAGCAGGTTTACCCTACATTTAACAATGTCAAAAAAAAATATATATATAAAAAAAACTATGTTCATATTTGTTATTATTTGTTAGGCCTACTAAATGCGTAGTTAATGTGCACGGATATATTAAATCAATTTGTGAAATTTTTCGGGAAAGGCCTTTTCTTTGCATCATTATTAGATTTTTCTCGTGATGATTTTAGCACACTAAAGAGAATAATAAAGCATATATTTGTAAACGCATGTTTTAAAAACATTTTTAAGGCGTCAATTTGGTGAATAAACGCAGGATTACCGTCTCTGCTAATCCATCAATATTATAACTACTGGCGATATTTTCCTATTTGATATGTGACGTCAAACCTCATGCCCGGCTTAACGAATAAAATACAAAGTTTACTACAAGATTACCTTAATGATGGAAAACAAAACATGATTTCACGGGAAACTTACGAAACAGTGTAGTTACAGTATGCTTAACTTTAGCTAAAGGACTTTAGTGAGTATTAAATTAGTTGTCTGCTTATATACGCTTTGGGTTAACTAACATTGAAATCCACCGTTAAAGGGAATTAGTAAGAGGGGTCCATGATCCAAATTCTGATATTCCAAAAGGATCCAACCAAACATATAAATTATTTATGTAAATTCCATCCATTAAAACATACCATTTTGGTTATGTGACGAGCTCAGGGGAAGGCAGATTGTGCCTAACCGGGGGCCATCATTGTTTCAATAATGATCATCGGTTTTAGACCCACTATTGTTTTTGAAACGATGTTTTCTTCTTTTGAATACAGTATACTGTCCAATTCATCACCAGAAGAACCTCACTGGTTCTGGTTCTGGGTGGGTAAAGATCGACCGCCAAAGGACTCCAAAAGTGTAGGGGTAAAACAGGCTGGAAAAAAGTGTCATGATTTTTGTGGGTTATCCTTGGTGTATATGCATGACACCTGCAAATTATTCCATAATCGTAAACAATGCTTTATTGACTTGTCTTATTAGTGTATAAGTCCACCAACCGAATAAGTTAATTAATAGTTAAATTAATCGCCTCTACGGAAAGAGGGTCCGCGATAAAATAGGCCTGCCGTATCCGCAAAGCATACCTGGTTCACATCGAGTATATGTTATGCTTTAGTAAAGAAAAGTAGTACCGTATGTGTTCACATCAAACTTGGTCCAACTATCTATAAGATTAGCGGTAAGTAATCTTACTAAAAAAAATACCTGTACTGGAATTGGACATGGTTAGTTAATCCGGACGCCTTCACAGGATTATACAAAAGTCAAGTTGACACCTAGTTCTATATCTGGAGTTAACTGGACTATAGAAATTCAGTGTACTGGATTTAATTATTTCGTTGTGAACCACGCTAACAATGATCTTAATTTGGGTATTAATACACCCAATTGTATAGCCTATTAATTTAGATTTTCTACGACCTGACGTAGATTTTTACACAAAAAAGATAAACGCATCCCCAAACAAACATTCTTGAATAAACGCCTATCGAAAAAACATATAAACGTCCCATCTGGTAAAAACGATTTAGGCCGGGGCATTCACTTGAATAACGACATGCTACTGGCTGTGTTCTGAAAGGTTTAATCAGAAACCATGATCAAACCAAATGCTAAAAAAAAAAAAAAAAATCCCTATGTTAGGCCTACTAGATGGTCGCAGATTCGGAGCAATTTCCCCATACCGTCATTTCTTCGAAGAACCGGTAAGGTCGAAAAGTCCTATTAAATGCAGTATACCCTAGTGATAGGACTTAAAATGAAATATAGCACGCACTGGAACTTCCGAATTCATGATCACTAAATAGCATTATTTATATCTCAATACAACGGATATTAATGTCACTGATGGTGTCCAAACGTAAATGAAATGGTGTGAAATTCAATTACTTCTTATTGTCTAGACTTTTAAAGAATTTCCATAAATCAAATTTAAGAGAATTTGGGCGGGAGTACTCCATAGAGCAAACATTTGGTAGTGTATGGGTCGGAGCGTTGGGAATAAATGAACTTAAAATCGTTATAAAAAACGTCGAAGAGGCCTATTTAAATCCTGACGTTATTAATAGGCCGGCTGGCCGAGGAAATAATATTTTAACTGGAGTTTGACAATCCTATTACACCTTTTTTTGCCTTGCGCGGTGCGGCATCTCAGTCATTTTAACAAGTAAATTGGACAGACCTTTAGGCAATTAAAGTTGAATATAACTAGAATGTGTCAGTCGCATACCAGTTCTAGTACAACAACCGCCCTAATTTTAGGCCTAGATCAGACTAGTTGGATAAACCCGGCTCAACTTAACGGGTTTATCCACCTGCCAGTCTGAACTAGCTTATCTCAAGCCTGGCTGTGTTCCTATAGTATGCTGAAATTTTAACGCCTGTAGGTGCCTACAGTATATGCCACTTTGGCATCATGGAAAAGTTTGCTTCTCTCTCAAGCGTATACGGGACAGCACTAGTTCTCGAAGCTCTCACGCGGAACAGGGCTGAACATGATACGTCCTCATTTTGAGCATACCAACAAGACAAGGTCTCAGAAAGATAGAAATAATAAAATTAAGCCTCTATATTTTAAGTTGGTTAAGATAACGTATAGGCCTACATGCTGTCATAATCCAAATATTTATGTAATTTTAAAAATACACACAAAATATGATAAAATAAACAATATTAAGACTATACACAAATGCATGCATATACATACATTGTATACACGCAAGGTCGGTAAAAAAAAAAACAACGTTCAGTTGATATATTTATTACAGTAGGCCTACAGCGCTATTCTAAAACACCGAGTCTATGACTTGATTTAAAATATTTTATTAGTGCCTATCTGCTAAATTTTGTATTTGCTACATGAATTATTGTTTACTGTAAGAGGCCACAGTCAACCAAGTTCATTGTTAACATTGGTGACGTCTTTCGTTATATACTAATATGAAGGTCGTGATTTATATAAATATGCTTATTTCAATCTCTTTAAGACAGACTCTAGAGAAAAAAAACAAAACATGTTGCACTAATAAAATAGTGATCAGTATAATAGCCACAGATTAAATTTAAGCTTAACGCCCTCTCCAGGCAATATTCAGACATAACTTTGGTGTTGGATGGAGAGATAGTACTGTCACCCGTTAAACGCAAACTTTACACCAACGTAGAAATCTTCTAGTATGTGTACATGTAAAACTCATTAAATGACTCTTTTTTTCTCTCAAGAAAAATGCAAATTGATTTTTTTTTTGTTGCTAAGCACATAAAACTCATGAGAACGTATTGAT